GTGGTGGGAGGAACTAATTCTAGACAAACAGGCCATATGAAATGTTACAATTTCAATTTTCAGGGTATTTGTAGTAGGGCTCATTGCATTTATATGCACTGCTGTTTAAAATGCAGTGGGGCTCACCCACTCTCTACTTGTCCTGTAGGCAATAATTACATGGCTCAAGCTAAACCAGCATATTCGTCAAATGTTCGAAACAGTTTAAGGTTGCCTCAGAGTCCTAACAACTTTTTTCGCTCTCGAATGCCCATCAACCCTCAATACACGCGACCCCTCAGACCACAAACAAATCTGGGAACTAGGAAAAACCCCAATTAAGATAGACAGACTTCAGGAGCATTTGAAAGATTACCCTGATAAAAAGGTTGTAGTATTTTTAGAAGAAGGATTTACAAAAGGTTTTAAGATTTGCTATAAAGGTCCTAGAATCCATGTTTCATGTAAAAATTTGTCATCTGCAAGAGAATACCATGATCAGCTTTTGGAAAAAATCAACAAAGAAATAAGCCTGGGTAGAATTTTGGGTCCTTTCATTGATTTACCAATAGCAAACCTTCATTTATCTCCAGTCGGTGTTGTCCCTAAATCTGATGGGGGATGGAGGATGATATCTCACCTCTCTTACCCCGAGTTAAGCGGTGTCAACTATTTTATTGATCCTGAACTCTGCTCGGTACAGTATTCTTCATTTGATGGAGTCATAGACATGATTGCTAGGTTGGGAAAGGGGGCTCTATTAGGAAAAGTTGACATCAAAAGTGCATTTAGGTTGATACCTATTTACCCAGGAGATTTTGACTTGCTTGGTTTCTCATTAGATGGATTGTATTACATAGATAAATGTTTACCTATGGGTTGTAGCATAAGCTGTAAAATATGGGAAACTTTTGCCACGTTTTTACATTGGTCGACAGGGTACAAATCTGGGCTTAAAACCTTGGATCATTATCTAGATGATTTTATTTTTGCGGGGAGAAAAGAAACTCAGGAATGTGCTCTTCTCATGTCTCAATTTATATCGATAGCTTTCGACATTGGGGTTCCATTAGCTGATGAAAAAACCACAGGGCCTACCACAAGGTTAACATATCTGGGTTTTGTGATTGATACAGTAGAAATGATCATTAAAATACCCCAAGATAAAGTTGATGCTCTACTACAAACTATTAAAGTTTTTCTTGATAGAAAAAAAGTGACTCTTAAGGAATTGCAATCATTAGTGGGAACTCTTAATTTCTTTTGTAAAGCGATTAGATCTAGTAAGACTTTTATTCGCAGATTTTATGATGCAATGTCTGGGTGTCTTAAGCCATTCCACCACATTAGATTAAATTTAGACATGAAAAGTGACCTTAGAATTTGGGAGATTTTCCTAAAGCACTTTAATGGGGTAGCATATTTCTCCGATACGATTTGGCAGGATTCTAATATTTTAGAGTTTTATACTGATAGTGCTGGTTCTAATGCTTTAGGATGTGGGGCTTATTTTCAGGGTAGTTGGTTTTTTCTTCCTTGGCCAAAACATTGGGAGAATCAGGAAATCATGAAGGATATTACATTTCTTGAGTTAATTCCAGTAGTGATAGCAATTGAAATTTGGGGGAATTTGTTAGTTAGGAAAAAAGTCTTATTTCATATTGACAATATAGCTTTAGTTAGTGTAATCAATAAGCAAACCTCTAAATCCAAGAGAATTATGGAGCTTGTTCGACATTTTGTGCTCAAACTTATGTTAAATAATGTTGTGTTTAAAGCTAAACATATTTCAAGTATTGATAATAACATTGCGGACTCTATTTCTCGGAAACAGTGGCAGAGGTTCAAGGAATTGGCACCATCAGCCAAGCCAAACCCAGAAGTCCCACCAAGGGAGTTAGTGAACATGATATACAATTTGAAATAGACCGGTTACTTCAGGCATCAATTTCTAAGAACACCAAGTTGTCACATCAGACAGGACTAGCATCTTTTCAAAAATTCAGGTCAACTTTTGACTTGGACGACAACTGGCCACCATTAACAAGTCATCTGATCCAATACATTGCTTATTTGTCACGCTTAGGATACTCATTTTCAACAGCAAGGTCTTATGTATCAGCAATAAGCTTTAACTGCAAAATTCAAAATTAACAAGTCATCTGATCCAATACATTGCTTATTTGTCACGCTTAGGATACTCATTTTCAACAGCAAGGTCTTATGTATCAGCAATAAGCTTTAACTGCAAAATTCAAAATTTTGATGATGTTACTAGGAATTTCATGGTTACAAAACTCTTGGAAGGAATGAGGAGACTAAACAAACCAGCTGATTCTAGACTTCCTATTACCCCCAATTTGCTCAATAAAATATTACATATGTTGCATTCAGTGTGTTTCAATAGATATGAGACTTTGCTTTTTAAGGCAACTTATTCATTGGCTTTCTTTGCATTTCTTAGAGTTGGAGAAATTTGTTTATCTGTAGGCAATGACAGTAACTCAATTTTGCAAGCCTCAGATATTGAATTTGATCAAGATCAAGCAAATATGTTATTAGTCATTAAACAATCTAAAACTGATCAGACAGGCAAGGGTATTACAATATGTATTGAAGAAGTGGGTGGCAGTATTTGTCCAGTCAAATGCTTGAGGGAGTTTCTGTCTATAAGGCCCAAAGTTAAGGGAGCATTATTTTGTCATTTTGGAGGTGAACCACTAACTAGATCCCAGTTTTCATCGGTTTTGGGCAAGGTGTTGAAGGTCTGTAAAGTTGGGGGCAATTACAAATCTCATTCCTTTCGCATAGGGGCAGCCACAGCAGCATTTGAATTGGGTTGTTCAGAAGATTCAATAATGGAGGCAGGTCGTTGGAAATCTAAGGTTTACAAATCTTACATTAGGTCTCCATTGGCAGGTTTAAGAAAAAATAGAATTTTTGATGATATCTAGCTCTAGGTTTGGGTTGTTCACATGCTAGTACCATAGGTATCATGAAGTAAAAAATAAAAAGCTGTTCACAATAAATTGCACTTGCATTAGTTATTATACAATTGTCACTTAAATTGTTTGTTAGAACTTATTAATTGTCAGTCTAGTTCTTTATTTAGACTTTACAAGTTTTTTCAGCCCCCTTGCAAGTATGGTGTGTTGGTTCCTCCATTATAAAAAGAGCATTCTTGGAAGCCTTTAAAAGTCCCTCGGGGGTCAACTTAGCCTTAGAAAGAGTCGGACTAAATTTATGGTGGCAAGGCTACTCTGGACTAAAATTCATTGAGTTAAAGAAAAAACTTTTGTACTTGAAGAATCTTGAGAATGAGCCTAACTTTATTCTTCTACATTGTGGCGGCAATGACATTGGTACCAAAGCATATTCTTTATTTGAACTTAAAAAAAAAATTCAAGACAGATTTGGCTGAAATTAAGGGTCACTTTCCCCAGGCCATCCTGATATGGTCTCAAATCCTTCCCCGTATTCAATGGAGGTATTCCGAAGATTTAGTGGCCATGGAAAACTATAGAAACCGTCTCAATAGGGCAGTAGCCAAATACATATTGGAACAGGGGGGCTGTTACCTGAAACATCCAGATTTGATGAAAGATATCGCCAAGTTTTTGCTACCTGATGGTGTACATTTATCAGAATTAGGAAACTCAATTTTTCTAATACAGTTCAAGGAGGTCTTGAATACTTTGCCCAAAAAAGGGGTTGCGTGTATCCAGACAAGTCTGTAAGTACCTAGAAAGAGTTGGGAGGACCTTGGGCAGTATTGGGCGTGGAACAGTTGACTTGTGGCTTTCCCCATGTGTGGGGTGACTGCAAACTGTGCCAGTATGCAGCCATGTGGCATCTGCGCACACCAAGCCACGCAGTACAGTTAAGGCTACACATGAAGATAATATGGTAATGAGGTCATAATGAGGTTTGACGTCATGACAGTTGCTCCGCCTTGATAGATCTATATAAGGAAATAGAGCTCAAAAAAGCTATTTAATGATGATTGCGAGAATTTGTAATGAATGTCTGTATTTTCAGGTTTAAATAAATAAACATTAGTGATTTTCTCTTATATAGTAACAACACGTCTTCGAAATAATTCTCTTTTTATTGTGTCGTTTGGCTGCATTCGGCTTCAGCCAAGCGCTTGCACTCGGTGACACGGAAATGTTGTTTACGTCTAAAAACGTGGCGACAGCAGCTGAGATAGGGCCTATGCAGTGGATAAATGCAACAATCAGGCAATTTTTAAAGAAAATAGGGATAAAATAAGAGACTTAGGCCTTGTTTATGTTTTTGATGAGAAGATGATGACGTTATTTCGGGAAATCATGGGAAACTGAGACGATCCGCACTACCCCCCCTAGGTCCCTTTCTGTTCATTAAGGTGTGTATGCGCATAGGTATTAACATGTAGACATACTGTTCTTTACATAGATGTAAAATAACCGTGAACATGTACAATAAGATGTATTATTACAGTCAGTCACAAACTGTAATGAATGCCTTGTGTGTATGCCCCCCCCCCCCCCCCACACACACACACACACAAACACACACATTATGAAAGTTGCACACTTTTAAACATGCAATGATGTTGTCCTTTGGCATACATGTACAAACATGTAACATAATATAAGCACAGCATGTCATGATATCAAATTATAATTTAGATGCAGTCACACTTACAATGTATTTCAATGTGAAGTCAAACTGCACAGTGTATAATGTATGTGCACTGTACATACAAGAGTATAAGACCCTATAAATTTTAATTTATACCTCTGGCAATCAAAAATGTGTGAATTTTAGGATTTCAGATTTTACCAGTGCTTCATATTTGAAATTCATCCGTAGAACTTTTCTTTCTGTATCACTAGGCTGTAAATTTGTAGAATTTCTACATTAGTGAAGATAGATATTTGAATTTTCATTTGTCTGACTACATGTACATTAAGCCAGTCTTATATGTATATACATGTATTTATGAACAGTTTATATGTATAATTCTTTTATCATTGTAGCTGCCACAGAACTGGTTAAAACTGGCATTTACATCAGCCAGAACTATCAAAATAGATGCATCAATTTCTCCACTGGGTATGATCACACTAAAGCATTTCACATTAAGTTTATAGTATGCCAGTGTTAAATATTTTTTTTTTTAAATTTTGTATAGGCGAAAGAATTAAATATTATCTCTAGTATACTGATTTATTTTTTTTTCTACTTAAATTAAGTATAGCTACTAATTCTACTTTTGCAAATGTCATCGATTTCAATTTCCCAGAAAAGTTTTGTATCAAAAGTTTGTTTCCATTTATTTTATGAATTTCAGAAAATATAGTATAGCATGGTTTGTTTTGCACAATGCAATGTCATTTCATTTTACAATAGTAATCATTATGTATTTCATTCATTACATATATATTGTGTTGTAGCTACTCCCAAACAATTTGAACAATTCATTCAGGCAGCAAGTGTTTGCACCAATAAAATAAAAAGGTATGCTCCATATTAACTATAAACCATACATATTCCTAGCAAGAATATTGGAATGTTTTGATAATAAAAACAGAAGAGTCATGTATATGCTTTCCATGTTACTCAATGCATTGTTTTGAGTATCACTTTTTAAAACACCAATGAACTTTCCATAATGGTATTTCATTTTGTTTTCAGAATTGATTTCATCCAGAAGAACTGTTTGAACTGTGGACTGTTTGAAATATTTTGCACCTGCTCAGAAATCCCTTCAAAGCCTGCCTTTAAAATTGAAAAGCTGTTTTTAATTAAATAAATTTTCTAGGTAATTAATACCTTGAATTTTTAACAGTACAATGGTGTGAAAGTTTGAATTCAAGGCTGTTAAGATTTGAATATATTTATTTGCATGTATTCTGACAGGCGCGTAGCTGCCTATCCGCAAATACGCAGGTGCGTACACATCGTTTTCAAATAAAAAAAAAAGGATGGGGGGGAGGGAGAGATTTCCGAGAAGAGAAAAAATATCAATACCATGCAGCAAATATTTGTGTTTCAAATTGTTTTATCTCATACTGTTTCAATTCAAATTCAAATTTTATATTACCATGTCTTTATAAAAAAATTGTAATGTTTTATTAAATCATTGCCAAAACCAAATAAAACATTCATTAATTTGTAATTCTCCTACAACACATTGATATTTATTTTAAAGATCTTTGAGAAAATATCAACAGTTGAATGCTGTGATCCACTAGAATATGATTTGAAATATCATTTTTGTTATTAATTGAAATTAATTATATTTGTTGCCGAAAGATGATACCAATATATCTTTTTAATTAAAAAAATATTCAGCCTCTACATGTACAATAAATTTGCACGGAAGTATTTAACTGTGTGTTAAAAACAATATTACTATGTCTTGTATTTTCTAAAGAAAATCGAAATGGCATGGTTTTAAATGAAATATTGGTAAAAACCATGAGCTTCCAGGGACTTCGCCCTGGATGCACTGGGGGTCTCAAAGCGGACCCCAGCCGTTCATTTCATTTCCATTCTGGCTCCGCGCCTGTCTGTGTTTTTGGGTACAACAAGATCTAAATTTCAGCATGTATATTGTGTTCACCTGTTCCTTAACAGAGTATCTGTTTCTTGATTACAAAGTTTCTACTACGATTATCTTGTTTGCGTATTGATTGATAATAACTCAAAAACATGAGACTAAAGCCCCCCCCCCCCTTCCCCAATGTGATTTGTGCTACAATAGTGAATGCCCAAATAAGTAAAACCTGATGTAAACACTGTTTAATAATTTATTTTTAACATGTCAGTAAGGTATATGGTATCAAAGGAGCCAGAGGCAAACTGGTGATGGGGAAAAGGGGGGGGGGGTAGATCTGTAGAAAGGAAAACAGGTTATTAAATACAGGAGTAAGCACCCCAATCCCTTCCTCCTGTTCTTAAAACTTTTAACGTAGTCTAGAATCTATAAACAGTTGAAGATTTGATAACTAAAATAATCACAAATAATTTATGTAAAAAAAAAAAAAAAGAAAAGTTCGGTTGGAGATATTTTTTCTGTGTGTCTACTGAGGAAGAATAAATGTTTTACCATTGATAGGGGCTGTCTATTTTATACGAAAGCCTATTAAGATCAAACTACGGTTAAAAAAAAAAATTAAAAGGCGTTATAACGCCTTTCCAAAAGGCGTTATAACGCGAAAAAAGGCGTAATAACGCCTTTTGAAAAGGCGTTATAACACGGAAAAAGGCGTAATAACGCAAATAAAGGCGTAATTACGCCTTTCCAAAAGGCGTTATAACGCCTTTCCAAAAAGCGTTATTACGCCTTTCCAAAAGGCGTTATTACGCCTCTTTTTTTTCAATACATGACTTACTTAGCCCACCCTGGGGGCTGATTATAATTAGATTTCTAGGAAAAAAGATTTTTAAATGTGTAAAATATTTTCAGTGTTAAACCAACTTAGTCCTTCTCTGATGCCAGACGCTTCTACCAAGGTGTATGGATTTCAGAAATTTTGTTGAAGGCTAATTGCTCATTATACCTATGCAAATACTTTGCCTGTTTTTTACCAAGAGGAGAGAAAAATATTTCAAATTTGACATGAATTTTTAATACGTGGCTAGCAGGGCCCAAAGCTGGTTCTGCCTATATCCTGGATTTTCAAAAGTAGAGTGTTGACTTCTCTTAATATGCATGCAAAATGCAAACAACTGTCTGCGAGATGTGCAGGAATATAGAAAATACTATAATTTATTATATAATTTATAATATTAAAACTATAATCTAAATATTGCATAAATAAAGATGGCTTTGGTGCAATCTTTCATATATTTACTTGTTAAAAATAACGCCTTTCAATTTTTGGATACAACTCCTTTTCAAACAGGCCGGTAGTACGAATGATTCCCCAACCCCACTCTTTGGGAGAATAGTCTTGCTATAGTTTAAATATAAAAAATCATTAATTGATTGCTTGGTTCCTTAACATTTTGTTGCAGTATAGTTAAACTCGGGCAAGTCATTGCATTTAAAAAAAAAGTTTTACCGAAAAATTAGAAAAAGTTTCCCCTCAAGTTTAGGCAGTTTATTTTTTTCGGGGGGGGGGGTTCTTGTTTTTTTGTTTGCTTGTCAATTTTATGCCCCCCCCCCCCACTTTAAAAGCACGGGCCTGTCAAAGACATAATAATGGCCCTTGAAAAGGCATAATAACGCCTTTTTGAAAGGCGTATTAATACCTTTTAAAAAGGCGTAATAACGCCTTTTGAAAAGGCGTAATAACGCCTTTTGGAAAGGCGTAATAACGCCTTTTGGAAAGGCGTAATAACGCCTTTTAGAAAGGCGTTATAACGCCTTTTGGAAAGGCGTAATAACGCCTTTTGGAAAGGCGTAATTACGCCTTTATTTGCGTTATTACGCCTTTTTCCGCGTTATAACGCCTTTTCAAAAGGCGTTATTACGCCTTTTTTCGCGTTATAACGCCTTTTGAAAAGGCGTTATAACGCCTTTTAAATTTTTTTTTTACCGTAGTTTGATCCTAATAGGCTTTCGTAATTTTTTTTTATATTACAAATGATTGAATCTTTCAATATTTTTAACCATGGGCATTTTCCAAATGATTTACATGATGGATGTTGCGGCAAATTTAAGGCCTGTTGACGAACGGAGGAAATGCGGTAGGAGTCAAGTACGTTTTCTGTAGCGTATAAAATAACGAAGATATAAAAAACAAAGTAATGTCAAAGATTTTTTTTTTATGCATACCGTTTTGACTTAGTGAAATAAAGCCCAGCACAGTCCGTAGGTATTATTTGTTTAAAATTTGCGAGGTACACAACCTCTATTAAGTACCACAGAGTTATCTCCCATGCTGGGTCAATGATGCGTTTGAAAACTATATTTAGAATGAATGTGTTAAGATTCCAATTTTTAATCAAAAAGTGCAAGGGCAAGGCGACAACCCAAGAGGTAGGTTTTTATTTTAAATTCTTTATTTTACTGTATAGTTTTTAAAAAGTGATGCTCATTTCTTTGTAATTCATTAGGCAATTTAAAAATTTCCGATTAAATGATGAAAAATACCCTAATTTTGAATACTGGTGTTTGTTTTCAATGAATAACTTAAATATCTCAGAAATCTGACTGAATGAGCATCAGTTTTTCGATAGGATAGTTACCAAGGGACTCAATGAAACCTTGTGCAGTTCAAATATTGTTTGCCTTGCCCTTGCACTTTTTGGTTAAATTTGACATTTCATATTTTGACCTAAAACTGGAGCTCACGTGACTGTAGAGGGTCACATGATGACAAAAAATACCGATGTGAAAAGCGATGGACAAACTCTTCATAAAGCTATTAAGATATTTCAGATTGAGTTTCATGCTAAAAAATAAGACTGTTGAACTTTAAGTGTCCCGTTTTTGGTGCCTTTTTATAGAAAATGTTGCCTTAACTGTACTGCGCAACTGTTGACAATATTTGTGTGAAACTTGTACTATACTCAACTGGACTGGGTTGATGTGTGAACCACAGTTAAGTGTAGTATTATTTGACAGTGATATTAACTGTGAACTAGAAAAATGCATATTTGAGTTTGAGATTTGAAATTTTGAGATATTTGATATTTGAACTACTGTGAGTTTGAAATTTAATGTTTGATATGTGCAGTTTGATATTTGAACTTTGACATTTGAACTTTGAACTTTGTTTGATGTGTGCTGACCCTCCGCGGTAAACCCGGGACGGTTAGTGTGTACACATGTTGCTATGATTTGATGGGATTGCCCTATTGAAATGGCATCCCATATTGTTTGTGATTTATTGTGCCACGACCAATACTCGCCATAAATTAAACATAAAACTAACATTTGGTGTTGTATTCTTATCTCTGTATAAATAATAGCATCTATTTGCTTACATACAAAATAGATGCCTTTATTTTACGAGAGAAGTATTTTGTTTGAGTCGGGCTCGGCCCGACTGAAGAAGTATATAAAGGCTCGGGTTTGTCCTTCACCTTCCTTTCTGCTGAACTTTTCAAAGGTAAAGACGTGTTGAAAGTGTTGTTAAAAAATTTAAGTAATTTTGCGTTGTAAATTTCAAATACCCTCCCTCCCTCCACGTCAGATATGAAGTTGTATGTTAATTTAAAAAAGGAATTTCTGGTGCTTGGGTTTTTTCTCCTCTTCTTTTTCAGGTTTTGGGGCATCAGTTCCCTTAGGATTTAGTTGGATACATGCATAAGGAATCGTCGTGGCGCTATCCAGGATTGATGAACATCTGCGCACACCAAGCCAACTGTTGACAATATTTGTGTGAAACTTGTACTATACTCAACTGGACTGGGTTGATGTGTGAACCACAGTTAAGTGTAGTATTATTTGACAGTGATATTAACTGTGAACTAGAAAAATGCATATTTGAGTTTGAGATTTGAAATTTTGAGATATTTGATATTTGAACTACTGTGAGTTTGAAATTTAATGTTTGATATGTGCAGTTTGATATTTGAACTTTGACATTTGAACTTTGAACTTTGTTTGATGTGTGCTGACCCTCCGCGGTAAACCCGGGACGGTTAGTGTGTACACATGTTGCTATGATTTGATGGGATTGCCCTATTGAAATGGCATCCCATATTGTTTGTGATTTATTGTGCCACGACCAATACTCGCCATAAATTAAACATAAAACTAACATTTGGTGTTGTATTCTTATCTCTGTATAAATAAATACATATTATTA